GTGCAGCATTCGGAGCCTATCCCAGAGCGATTTTCCTCCCATCGACCATCGATGCCCAACTCGTTCCGGTACGAGGCTACACCGACTGCATCAACATATCTAACACAACCACCACCTCATTCATTTCCTTTGCAAAGTAGTCAAGGCCAAAGAGCTGAGGGTAAGCAATGGCGTATACCTCAACCATACACCGCTCAAGCTCCTCAGATTACAAGCTACCAGAGAGAACAGGAAGTGGATTACAACAGTGGTGGTCAATCGTCAATACCAATTGGCCAGCAACAACCGCAGATGCACTTCCAGTTCCAGCAAACTCAGTTTCAGCCCTATAAGCCTCGTCAACTTCCTGTCCATGTTCCACTTGGGATTTACACCCAAGCTCAAGCTTCACTTATTACTCAGTCACAACATGATTATGGCCAACAAACGCAGCACCAACCACTTCTCATGGAAGAGGCATCACATCAAGCGCAAGCAGGTTTTACTTCGCAAGAACGTCGACCTGATGAGCTCATGGAGGCGGAAATGAAGGCTATGCGGTATGTGTATCTAATGAATGAACAACGTCATGCAAGGAAAGCACTAGCCGAACGAGATGAGAAAATGTCAAAAAAATCTGAACCAGGAATCATTGATTTGATGTTGTTATCCGAACTGCCGCCTATAGTAATTGAGCCAACAGTCATTCCTGAAGGAGTGCCGAGGTATAGAATGCAGGTCGGTTAGCTCCATCTGTTTTTTTTTTTTTGAAGTTTCAATTGAATTGTTGCTCTTTTTAGGAACATATCCTTCCTCCATATCACCATGCACAGTTCGCCGTCAGAAATGGCCCACTTGTCTCTCCTTACAGATCTGAGGGAGAAGATGAAAGTAGCGAGGATGAGATCCATAAATTGCGCGATGTTTTGGATTTAACATCACTGGAACCCCCAGTACCCCAGCAAAAGGCAACGAGTGATCTGCACTCAGTTCACAAACCTCAATTTCAATCTCAATCTATAGTTGAGAAAAATCAACGTCAACAGTACCCTAGTGGCGGATCTCACAAAAGTTTACGATTCCCCGCTGCAGAATTGCTGCAAGAACCTACTCAGGTGCCATCAATGGCTTCTGAACTGTCTATACCCCAAAAATTGCAACCACTTGAAATTGACATCTCAAAGACAGGCGATGTTACAATGCTATCCAGAGGCTCTACTCCTGCAAGTCAAGGAGATTCTGAACTCAGTGGGGAAAAAGTCAATAGAAGAAGGGAAGATGAAGCATCACAGAGAGATTCATCACCTGAATCTACTGATAGTGACGCAATAAGAAGGCAATGGGATCTTAGTCCAAGTGTTTCTCCACTAACCTTAGAAGCTTTAGCGTCTGGTCTTAGCTCTCCTGACGGATCAGATTCGAACGATGGTCAAACCGGCATGCCGGTGTGGCCTACGATCTCTAGAAAACATGCAAAACTAGCGATAGCAGCTTGCAGAAATATGCCAAAACGACTACAACCATTGTGCAGGAGATTCGCGTGGCAACAAGGAATCACTTATCTGCTTGAGAATTTCTGTTTGAAAAAGTGGGAAATTCGACCTGAACATGATAGCGAATCTGTTTGGTTTTTCGAGAGGAATGTGAGACGGTTCAAGCCGTTTGAGTTGGAACCTTGGGAGATTCCTGGAGGTGATACCGAGGATGAGAATGATTTTTATGGTTTCAATATCTGTGCTGATGTCCCAGTTAAGAAGTGCAGTAAAACAATCAGGCTAGAAGACTTCGCCACAGTTTCATTCAGTTGGTGAGTTATCACAGCAGTATTTGAAGTTTACTGAGAACAAGGCTTGTAATCACATCTATTTTAGCCAGGAATCCCCAGGAATCGTTGAATACTCATCCACAGACGATGAGGGCTATTCTGATGAGTGAGTAACATTACTCTTGTCGAAAGTGGTCCCAACAATTTCTTTTTAGGAAAACCGAATACGCTAGTAGTGTTTATTATGACGTGGATGATATAGCACCATCGTAAGTTTTTTTTT